GAAGGTGCTAAGAATAGGCAGCGTTTGGAGCTGCGGCCGCTCCGATCGGCAGAGCCGACCCTGCTGCTTTGCTCTCTGCACGTTCAGCATTCGGCGTCTGGGTAATTCTTTCCTAGATTGCTATGGATCCATCTTCCGATGGCAAAGCACTTGGAATATTTGCATTAATCAGGAGGGAAGAGGGAAGGTTTTTCTCCACAGGCTTTAAACATGCTTACGTCTGCACTGAAATGTCAGATTTAATGTGTTTGTGTCTCTTAAGTGGTATCAATTACGGTCATTTACCTTTCATGTAGTAAAAATACTAATATTTATTCTGCTCTCTGATATTTACTCATTTCAGTTCGAGACCGAAATCTAGCCTTGTGTTTCTATACGGTAGCACTTCTCCATAGCTGAGCTCACATGCTGCAGTTCCAGGATTGACTTTCCTGGTAGGGGAAGGACTGGTCCTAAAAAAATATATAGGACCCACAGAAGGGGCAAACAGACTGGTGGGCCTCATGGGATCCCATAGAGGGACATATTAGAGTCTCCCCCCTTGCTGAGCTGAATAGCTTTGTGTTTTGGATGCTCAGCGGTCCCAACTAGTTGCATTTCTGCAAGACAGAGAGAAGCTGCCCGAACAGCATGATGGAATAAAACCATCAGGATGAAACGTCCTTGCTGCTGTCGTCCAGCACAGTCCTATTAGTTTGAACCCAGACATAAGCCCAGCAGTGCTGGTGTACAGATCCGGAGTCTTCCTAGCAGAGCAGATCCGAGATCCCAGTCTGGATGTGCTGGGAAGAATCCTGCGGCCTTGGCTTGCTAGGTTTCGCCAAAGCTTGGCCAATTTTTTGCCTTACAAGGGGTTTGGTATTGCAATATCCTTGCAACACCAATTCAGCCCCAGCGGCCCCAGGGCTGTGCTCATCCCCAGCCTATTCCCTAGGGCTGGGGTCTGGGCTGTGAGTTATTTCTCCCGGTCACTACGACGCGTCCCCAAAAGCCCCACACAGCCCTGAGCTCCGCAGCGCACGCACCTGCGATCCCCTCCCGGGAGAGCATCCTTGCTGCCGAGGGCGTTTCGCGTCCCCGTCGCTGTCCTTCCCCCTAGCCCTGCTGCTGTCCCCGCGCCGCGGCCGGCTGTCCCTGCGCACCGCAGCCCGCGTGGACGGGCGCTGGGTGCAAAGCGAGAAGCGCTGCAGAGCAGCGTGTGCCCCGCAGCGACCGCTCCGGCGCGTTGCTGTGCGTTATTTGGTTTATCCATCCCTGGCGGGACGCTCGGGACGAGCGTCGCAATCCATCGCAGCAGCGGACGAGAAGCCTTTGCATCACCCGCGGCAGAAATCTCCCCGCTGCTTTTCCAAGTTATATGCCACAAAAAAAAAAAAAAAAAGACAGTTTCTAAATACCCCTAGAGCCGAAATACCTGCAGCCAGGAGCGTGTTTGCAGCCAGCTTTTCCGTGGTTCTGCGTGGCTGGAGGGTGCGTTCGGATAGCGGAGCAAGCGGAGCGTTACGGAGGAACGCTTTGCAGGAGTAGCCGGAAGAGAATTGCTTCCCCATTACGCGCCACTTAATCCCTTGCCTTAACAGCACTTGCTTTGATAGGTACTGCAATAATTGGCTATATTTTCCTGGTTCCTCCTGCATTAATGAGGTTGCGTGTATTAATTGTTCGGTCAGCAAAGGGGTGCTCGTGTTAGCTGTGTGTTGAGTTCATGCCTTCTGATTTTTCCCACCGTCTTTTCTAAGCACAAGCTTTTTTTCTTCTGCATCTGCAGAGTATTTTATGATCTTGCAAGACAGAACCCATAGCAGAGCCAAACTAAGCACCACTAAACTTATCATAGTGTGCAATAGGAGAAAATATTGAGCAAAAGGAGAAAAACAAGCCATTAAAAGCACTGTGGTGTAGGTGATAATTTAGCAGAATCCAGGTTTTTCTCCCTGTGTAAAAGTAGGGAGAAGGATGCCAACAGTATGAGGAAGGAATCATGAAAAAGAGTACTTCATTTAAGAGACGTTTGCTTCCCTAGCCCTGCGGTTAGTCCTGACTTGTGCACTGTGTGTTTAGGGAAATGTAAACAGAAAACTGGGGGTGTCGTATCGTACCTTCAGCTCGTCGTTGCAGCAGCCCCTCTCCTGTGTAATCCAAGCTTGCTTTTCCTCAAGGTCTATGTGCAGCACTGGGAATATTCCGAATTGCCCTTGCTTTGGAGCCGGCTGCCTGGAGAACACAGCTAATCCCAGGGATTTGTGCACTCTGCCTCCCGCCCATGCAAACCTGATTCCTCCTTGGCGTGGGAGCGGGGTCGGGAACGTCCCGCGGTGCCGAGCTCCCCGTGCCGCCGTTCACGCGCTGTCCCTCTTGCAGT